AAACTACTTTTTGCAGGCGAAGCTACAGCCCAAGAATGGTATGGCTATGCACATGGTGCTTTACTAAGTGCATGACGAGAAGTAACTCGATTATTGCACGTTTATGAATTGTCCGTAAATCAAACTCAACCTGGATCTGGATCAGTGTTAATGAATCCATTCAAAATTATGATTATTATTATCAATATTATCTTATTGGAATTTTTGTTTTATATAACGAAATGACATTTCTATTTTATTTTTGATATTCTTTCGACAAAAATAAACATTTAGAATTAATAAAATACACAAACTATAACTTGTTTTATCAATTGAGAATGATGTATATGATTTGCTTTTGATGGTCATTTTTTCAAATGCCATTGGATCTTTCGCATATCTGAAAATAAGTTATTTTTATTTCTTTAATATTGGATGGATTTTCTTTTTCAAATATATTAACCATATTCAAGCATAAAACATTTCTTTTTTTTTTTCGTGTCTCACAAAATATCCCAACAGTTAGTAGACACAGAAAGATTATAAATTACGTTTGAACCATTAATTATACTAACATTTTACAGTTTCGTTATCATTTTGATGTAATCTTTCATAGGATGTTAGTTTTCGTAATTTCATTGATAGTTGTTTCAAATACGATTGATAAAAATCGAAAGAAATTTCTATTGAGATTGATTCTGTTGTTTTCTCATGTTGATGAGTATAGATCACGACTTAACTCAAAATGAGCGATATAGACAGTCATGCGTACTCGCATCTCTTAATAAAAATGAATATATGACAATCTCTAATTTTTTTTTCTTACCATTTATAATTTCTTGTATTTATGTTCGTTTTCTTATGAATATATAATGTGTAGCTTTTTCTCATACTATTTAACCAAGGAGAATGTATTTAGTTTATGCTCGACGGAAAATTTAAATATCCTTCATATCATCATTAAATGGGTGTGCGTGTGAGTGGTAGGCCATCTTTGGTGGGGGTGGTGCTGGGTGTCCATGAGAAGAAGGTCCACACTCCCAAGTGCACCCTGGCACCCACACCCGCTGTGCTAACAAGCTTTTTGTGAAACAAAATCAAAATTCTAATCGATAATAATCTAAATTATAAACAGCATAAGTTAATTAGTAGTTTCTGATAATTGATTGGCCTTGGTG